TCCAATCTGTCACCCATGGCTGCCCCGATACGTAACTGACAACCCTGGGCTATTCGCAACCCAAAGCCGCCCCTTGAGCCATCAGACCTCCCATCCACCACCTGTGGCTACCCAGACTCAAGACCCATTCCTGGGACCAGCCGCACCCCAACATCTGCCACACAGGCCCCCAAGCCCATCCCCAGATGTCAGCCAGACAAATCTGCCACCGCAAAGCTTGACAGACCAAATCTACCCCTACCCCAATGCCAAATACCTCCCTAACCCCTAGATCCACTACTGGAGACCTCCCCATAACCTGGGCCTGCTCCTGACGTCCATCCAAATCCATCCTTGGGACCCCTCATGTCTCCTCCCTCTATGACCCTGAACTTAAGCATGCCAGGACCCCAGATACTTAGCGCAGAGCAGAAGGACAGACCCCAAATTTGGCATCCTCTATTACACACACACACACACACACACACACACACACATTCTGGGCTGACCACAGGGTGTTTCAGGCTAGTCTGGCATCCAGCTGCTGACTCTACGCTCCCGCCTTCACCCCAGACCCGGCACCTGCCTGCCACAAGGCACAGGTCTCCTCAGCCTGGGCTTGGAACAGCGTCGCATCCTCCATTTGTTTCCGCAGGTGCTCCAGTGACTTCTCCAGCCTCCCCTGGTGGGACGGAGACCAGGCGGTGCCATGAGAATCCCAATCGGCATCGGGCCCTACAGGCAGGGCCCAGACACAGAAGTCTGCCTTTCCCCTCCTGACCTCCTCTGCCAACCTCTTCCCCACTGGGCCAAATGAAATCTGTCCGGATGATGGCAGGATACAACGCTCCCCCACTGACAGGTACCCTTCTGATTCGGCAGCCACCCCTCTAGTGACCAAGGCTACTCCTCCCCAAATTCACCAAATGTCACAGTCAAGGTTTCTCCTTATTTTCAGTGCCAGCCCTGTGTCCCTAACCAGCCCTGCTCACCTCTGCAGAGCAGACAGTGTGTTCCCTGCTTGGTGGGCACAGCCAGGCTCCCTCACCAGGCCGCACCCACCAAGCTGGCACTGAAGACTGAGCTTTCCCCGCCTTGAAGCCACTGTGGCCTCCTCTTCCTTCCACCTGTGGTCACAAGGGGTCACAGCAAGTCAGAGGCTAAGGCTTGAGTGTCCCCAACAACTCCTCAGTCCAACACCCGACCACCTAGGTGGTGGGCTAGACTTTTGGAAGGTGATTGGGATATGCGAGTGAGGCCCTCCGGACAGGTTCTGAGAGTTCCTGCTTCTTCCAGGTGAGAACATGGCAAGAACGGGGCCACTTGTGAGCCGGGAGGCAGCCCTTTACTAGACATGCCTTGACCCTGGACAGCCGCCAGAACTGTGTGCCATAGCTGTACCATAGAATGCACCATGGGAGTTCAAACTAGATGTAGCTTTTTTTCCCAGTCCCTCATCGCTGGCTCTATTTTCCTAGGCTGGACCTGATCCAGCTTCCATTTCCACTTTCTTGCAGTTTTGCGTACCACAGAACGGCAAGCATTCCTATAAACAGGCCAGCTGGGTGGCTTGTGTTCGTCTCCAATGGCGTCTGTTTATATCAATCCAAACCTTGTCAACTCCAGGCCTGGGCACAGTGCTGGGGGAAATCCTGAAGTCAGTCAGGGAGGAGAGATGGAACCTAGCTGCCAGCTGGGCTCAGTCCTCATCAGGGCTATGGTAGAAGCCACAGGCCTATCCCAGATGCTGCCTACCCTCTCCTGAAAATTCAGGCCCGTCTTGTCACTTGGCCCCATCATCATGTACCCGAGTCTTGCGTTCCAAGCTCTGCCCGCGTCTTCCCAGTGTTTTCTCCTGGAACCCTGGGCCTCACGCATGCTAAGTAAGTGCCTTACCACTGAGATACAACTAGCCCTCTTTTTCTCCTGTAACATGGTCTTACTAAGTTATCTGCGCTGGGCTTGAACTTTGAACTCTGTAACCCAGGTAGGTCCTGAACTTTTGATTTTCCTGCCTCAGCCTCCTGAGTAGCTGGAAAGACAGCTATGAGCCACTATACCCGGCCACTTTCTCGTTTAAAAACAATTACCTTTGTTATTTTGATTATGTGTCTGTCTGCAAGCGGACTGTGCATTTCAGTGTGCATGCCTGTAGAGGCCAGACAAGTCAGCTCCCCTTAGAGCTGGGGTTACAGGCAGCCACGAGCTGTCCAGCATGAGCGCCGAGAACTTGAGCAATTTGGAACAGCAGTTAGCTACTTGAGACGCCTCTCCAGCCCCCATGTCCCCATTTTCAATGCTAAGGTCAGGGGCAGCACTTTAAACGGAGCAAACTTCTGAAACAGCACTATGTGTATACTTTGGCAAAAGCTTCAAGTTCTGGTTGCACACAGACCTATCATTGGTTAGGTCAGGATGCAGGCTTCCTACCTTGGGTGTGGTGAGAATTGCGTCAAACCCAGAGGGCCCTGGGGCAGGCCTGGGTTCTCCCCTCAACTCCCAGTTCCTGCCTCTGGGAACCCTCCTCCCATCTCTCTGGTTTTACTGGAGAACTGGAGGCTCCCCTCTGGGTACTAGTCACTCATGGCCCCAGGGCCAGAGCCAGAGAGTGAACTTGTCACCTGAGCCATGGAGGCCAGCATGGCCCAGGGGACCCCCATCCCAAGCTCCAGTGAGTGGAGGAATGGCACACTGTGTACCCGCTGGTGACAGGTAAAAGCTATCTGCTGATTTCCTGGTGTCACCTGACAAAGCCAAGCTGTGTCCCCACACCCAAACCTGCCCGGGTGCTGTGAGGTTTATGTGGAGGTGAGGGTGACTGAACAGACACGGATACACAGGCGGGCAGAAGGCGGAGCATTGATTCTGCAGGAGAGAGACACTCCCTCTGTCCTTAGCCTCCTAATTCCTAGACAGGTCCGTAACTGCTGAGACCTGGAAGTCCAGGTCTCTCTCCTTCTGGTAACTCTACACGTTTGGAGAAAAGCCCCAGGGTAACTGCTTCTCTGATTTTTCTTTTTTCCTTGTGTGAAGCCCTAGGCAGGAGAAATTTAAAGTGTTACTTTAGCTGTAATTGTTAAGTTCGGATAATGAACCTGACAAGGAAGAAGCCAAGGCTTTTCTTCTTTTGTAATAGAACAGCTTTAGTGTTGCCCCGCCAGGATTTATCATGTCACTTCTGGAGAGATGTGGGTCCCTTTCAGTACCACCAAGGTAGCAGGAAGGAAAGCCCGCTGGACCAATGAATCCGGTAAGGACCAAGCAAAACGAAAAACCACAGGGATATCTCTGTCTATAAGCTCCTCCAAACCCCTGTGCTGAAATCCAAAGCAAAGGAAACTTGGTGCCTGATTTATTCTGGTTACCGGAGTTCATGCTGGGATGGTAACACACCGGCCAAGTTATCAACTCTGACGTCGGCCAAACTGTTAAATCTCACAGTGGCCCCTTCAGTTCTCCCAGCCCAGTCAGGACTGACTACCAACACCCAGTTTTTCAAGAATGCCGGTGCACCTCATCCTGGAATAAGACAGGCTACATCCGGACCCCGTCACGGGATCAGGTCAACTGTAACTCACATTCCCTCACCCAAGGAGGGACACAGTGCCAGGACATCCCTTCGCTCCAGACACGGACCGGTTGCACTTGGCGGAACGCACCTTGAGGTCTTCGGCCGCATCCTGCAGCGGCCGTACGCGGTGAGCCCAGTGCTCCGAGCGCTCGCAGGTGGGACACAGAAGGCACAGGTCGTCGCCGCAGAAGGTGGCCAGCGGCTCGCGGTGCACCGCGCACACGCCCTGCGGGACGGGCGACGGCGGGTGCAGGCGCCGGGCCATTTCTGCCATTTTGGCGAGCGGTCGGTTGGGTCGCAGGTTCCTCTGCGCCGACAGCTCGCGGCACTCGGGGCACGCGTACGGGCCCTCGGGCTGGCCCCAGCAGCGTCGGATGCACTCGCGGCAGAAGTTGTGACCGCAGTCGGTCATCACTGGGTCGGTGAAGTAATCGAGGCAGATGGCACAGGTGGCCTCCTCCTGGAGGTTGGTGGACAAGTCTGGGGCGGCCATGGTGCGGGCGGCAGCGCCTTGGATCGGGCTCTTCGCGGCGCGCGGGGACCGGGCTACTACTCCGCGGCGGGGGCGTAGTGGGCACGGGCCGGGACCAGATGGCCAGACTCCCGGCCTCCCGTGTAGTGGGTACGCCCGGTACCAGGCTGGCAGACTTCCGCCGGAAGAGGAACAGCGGCGGAAGCAGGAAACTGGTTATTATTATGTTTTTGGAACCCGCTTTTGTCGTGGATTGGCCGCTGCTTGTCACACGGCCTGGGGGTGAGACCGAATTAGAGCGCATTCATTACAGCGCTTATTCGCGGTGACAGGTCTCCGCAGGTGGTGTCCCCCGCTCCACCAGGCCCCGCGGGCTGCAAACTGTGGCCGCAGGTCCAGAAAGGGACGACGAGGAGTATTGAGGCACAGGATGACCTTGAGTGCATGGGAACACCCAAGGGGTGGGCAATGAAGTTGGCCGTGTCCCGGTGCCCACAGCACCCCTGGACAGTTGTCGCTAAGACACCTCCAACGCCACCCTCATGCCTGGGGGGGCAGACCTGGGTGATCGGGGATGGGAAACGAGACGCGGTGTCACGCCGTGGGTCCAGAAGGCTCCCAGTGGAAACCGCTTCGGAAATGGGTCCTTGCCAGTGTCCCGGGGCGCTACTCACTTGTAACAGGAATGGAGAGTGAGGGGTTCTTCGGGTTGGGAGTGTTAGGAACCGGTTCGTGGAGGGGCGCCCTTCCTAATTATCTTAAGGGGGACGGGGTGGGGCTCCACTTTCTCTGTGAAGGACCGGATGGCCCAAGGGCACTAGGAACCAAGATACTAGCAAGCTTTGGGGGCGGGACAAAGCTAACAAAAACGGAAGACCAACTTGCCAGGTGAGCAGGTATATATTTAGAAATACATAGTTCACTCGGAAATGTCGGGACTCTTTCCAAAGTTACCCCTACTTAGTATCTTCTCAAAAGTCGGTTCGTATTTGAGCATTTTAATCGTGATTGTATTTCGGGAAGTTGCCCTGCCAGCACAGGTATTGGCTCTTAGCGCCCCAGAGAAAGCCTGGGTAGGTAGCCACGGTGGTGAAGCGCCCTGCCTTCTGGGGAGCCAGGGCACGCCCAGTGACTACTCTGCCTGGCCGCAAGCCTCTATCCCTTCACCCACATGGTCACTGTGGAGATGACCATCTGGCCTGACTTTGGGGCTCCCAGGCAGAAGAACGGCAGCAGCGGCCCAGGGAAGGCAGCCTGGGAGAAGCTGTGCAGGTGGGACCCGTCGTTCACACTGTAGAAGGACACCTCCCCGGCCTGGAAGTCCAGGAAGATGCCCATGTGGGTGGGGGGCTCCGTGAGTGTGACCTGAGTGGAGTCGGGGAGCAGGGACAGGTGCCTCTTCCCTTTGGAGAGCTGCACTACCCAGAACCCATTTTCCGGGGACTTAAGCACCCTGTCCTTCCGGCTCACGTTGTCCCTGCACACGCCCAAGGCCCAGAGTGCATCCCCGGTGAGATTCATGCCCACTTCCCAGTAGTGCCGTCCAGAGGAGAAGCTCTTCTGTCCCACAGCGCAGGGGTAGGCCACGAAGCGGTCCTTGCTGTAGGGGGCGGTGCCCTCTGGTGGTGGGCTCAGGTATCGCCTCTGGCGGCTCTCGTACAGGAGGAGATAGGGGTACGCTGAGTTGGGGTCCGGCACCACGTCCTCTGCAGAGAGGGTCCAGGTGGACAGAGATAAGCAGGGGTCATTCAAGGTCAAAGGTGGAAGGGCCAGAACCCTCAAGATAGTCGTGGGTGGGGCATGGTGGTCAAGTGGCTCTTTTCCATATTCACTCAAAAGCCTCCCCTCCGCCAGTCCCAGCTGAGAATTGGGGCTACCTAAGGGTTCCACACTCCAAACCCCCATGGATGTTGATGGTGAGTCACGAGGGCTAACTGGGGCAAGCTTAAATCAGCCGAGGGTCAGACTTGGAAAGATGTAAGTACAGTTTAAGAGACTAATCTCCAGTCGGTAGCTCAGTTCCTGCGTGGCATCCAAGGAACACCGCCCAGAGGACTGAGATTCAGGATTGGAGACCTGGGTCTCCACTTACCTTGGAAACTTTTGAGCACCTCTATCTGTCCTGGAACTCTGCACACAGTCTTGATAGCCACGGGGAGGACCACCTCTGGGTACTGCAAACTGAGGCTCTCCTTCCTCCAGGGAACACAGTCTCATGTGCTCCGGGGCTCTCCATGTGGCCCTCCCTCACCCACCTCCACCACCACCTCTACTGAGGGTGACAGAGTACCTGGTCAAGGTGTCCTTCATGTCCTGCAAACAACAGGGAAGAGGGGTTAAGAGCTGGTCCCGCCGGTCAGGATCCGAGTTACCTCTGTTGCCCACTACTTTGAGACATCCCCTTCCCAGACAACAGGTTCATACACTCCATGGATCTTCCCTTCCCCTCCACTCGGCAGACCCTAAAGCATCTTCTCAGTCCACGGTCACAAGCCTGAGGTCGGCAGAGAGGAGGCGGCAAGTTCTGGGAAACCTGCAACCCTTACCTTTTCAGTAGGGGAAACAGAACGCGGGGCCTCTGCTCAGCAAGCACGGTACCACGGAGCTAGCCCCGCCCCTTCCCCAGCTCTTTACCCAGTACTTCCTCTGAGGCAAGCAAGCCATGGACCAGCAGTCCTTGTGCATACCATGCTTTTGTGTATGTAGGTGTATATATGATGCAGTTTATGAGTCTGGCACAGGAAAAAGCTAACATAATAGAATAGAACCACCCCTAACAATGCACTCTCGTAAGTGTGTGCCCCACCCCCATCCATTTGAGCAACCCTAGCACATGACTTGCACAGAGCTTTCCTTAAAGGAGGCTGCTCAAAGCTTCTCTGTGGCACATGTAAATGGCCAGCTTCCCTGATCCTGTGCTTTGGAGCCATTATTAACTAAATGTTACTTTTGCTCACTCACAGATTCCCCCATCCCACACACACACACTGTAGCTTTGATAGCCAAGACAGTTACTGGTGATAACACACAGCATAGGTGTAGTGAACTAAGGGGTGGTTCACACCCCAGGTGGGTTTTATCTGCATATCCTCAGAACAGCATGCAGTTTGAAACTTAAGGGTTGTGTACTTTCCGGGTTTCCCCTTCAATATTTTCAGGCTGAGCATAAACGAAGCCATTCGGGAGGCTAAGGTGTGGGTAAGGAGGGCAGGGTCCTGAGTTTCCTTCTCTGGACTCACAGCTGCAGATCCAGTTAAGGTGCACAGAACAATGGGGCAGAGAAAAAAAAGGGCAGGGAGCACAGTGGCCATGGTTTGAGGAGGGGGGTGGGTGGGTTGAGGGTGAACCTAGGGTCCCTAGAGATTTTCTAGAAACCCAGGATCCACAGACTTCTCAAGCACCATTAACGTCCTGGCCTGGAAAATATCTGCATCTCCTAAGTGTTTCCCAGTGGTCCACTGCCTTGTCTGGATGTGGTACGTTCCCAGCAAAACCAGGTTGGAACTGAATTGCTAGTGTCGCAGGCTGAGCAGTCACAGCTCGGGTCTCTAAGAGGTAATTAGGTCACAGGTCCACCAGGGTGAGCGGAGATGAGAAAGGGAGGTGCAGAAGTTGGCCTGCCTCATTCATGCTGGCGGGTGCTGGCTGGCCCTCTGTCCCAGGGCCTTCCCCAGAAGAGAGCAGCTGGCAGGACCATGCTCTCGGACTTCCAGAACTCCGGGCTAAAACAAGCCTCTTTTTTAAAAATGTATTTTATTTATTGTCTCTCCCTCAGCATGCGTGTGTGTGTGTGTGTGTGTGTGTGTGTGTGTGTGTGTGTGTGCGCGCGCGCACGTGTGTGTGTATCTACTGGTGGGTAATGTGAGATGTTTGCTGTTCAGCACTGGGATGGGATGGGGAGGTGACCCTCAGCCCATCCCATCCTGTCAGCCTGCATGTGTTCTGCAGGCTGCTGGGCTGAGTGTACAATCTCAGGCCATGCCCCACCTCATGGTGAACCCACAGGTTTGTGGCAGCATGGGGATAATCCCAAGGACCCTCCGCACCCTCTGGCCTCACCTGCAGCATCTGCAGGGGCTCCTGCTGGCTCTGCTCCTCCAGCTGCAGCAGGAGCCGGTCCAGGGAGCGGCTCTGGTGGTCCAGGGAGGTTTTGCTGTCCTGCAGCCTCCCTAAGATATCGTCTTCCTCCTTCTTCAGGACCAGGAGAAGCCTGCGCTCTTCCTCCACTAGGAACAGGACCACCTTCTGGAACTCCTCCAGGACACGTTCTCGCCGCTCTTTCACTTTCTCCTGTGGGAGTGGGGAGCCCCCCGCCCCGCCCCCTGGCTATGAGATGTGTCCAGAAAGGATGGCTTTTCCTTCAAGGTTGCCACACATCAATTCTGGACACGTGGTGACAGAGGTCCCCATGCTATCCCCGTTACACCCTAACAGATCAGACCCTGACTGGCAGCATCCACATGGTCAGATGTCTACGTGTCCTGGCGTGGGTGGGTTCAGAACATGCCACCTTAAGGAAGGACACAGACATGATTCATAAAAAGGACAGGGAGCTCCTAATGACCAGGCTAAAAGTCAGACTGGAGTTACCCATGTTCCTAAAGCTGTTGACCAAAACTCCTAAGAAACCAGAATTTCACAGATAACAGCTAAACTTCCCAAACAGGCCCCTTCCTCCCTTCCCCCCACCGTGTGTGTGTGTGTGTGTGTGTGTGTGTGTGTGTGTGTGTGTGTGTGTGATGTACTTATCTTCCTTTTCTTCTGAGACAATAGGCTCTTCCCAGGTAGCCCTGGGTGGCCTGGGACTGGCTATATATTCTAGGCTGACCTTGAACGAACAGATCTTGCTTTTGCCTCCTTGAATTCTGGGGGTCACACATATGCACCAACAAGCCCAACCCCCCAAGTAGGCCATTTCCAGTGAAGAGGGGGAAGTCAATCCTTGTCCAACAGTACCACAAGATGACCAGCTGTTGACCAAGTAGTCTCCTTCCTATTGTTTCCCTGATCCCACCTTACACGGAAGGTAACTCTGAAATGGAATGGCAAACTGCAGCCCTTCTCAGTCTTTAAAATCAAAGGTGCAGCCCACATTTATTTTGTGGGTGCACTGCCTGATTCTAGAATAAAGAAAGAGAGCTATTTATTGTCTGAATAATAAAAGAAATTATTTTAAAAGGGGGATGGAGTTAAGGGCACTGCCTGCTCTTCCAGAGGACCAGGGTTTGATTCCTGGCACCCAAATAGTGACTAACATCCATCCATCTTTAACTCCGGTTCTAGGCAGTCCGATGCCCTCTTCTGGTCTTGCCTAGAACTGCATGCACGTTTTTCGTAAACACATGCAGGCAAAATGAAGATAATTAAAAAAATCTGAACTTAGCCAGGTGTAGTGGTGAACGCCTATTGTCATAGCTATTTGGGAGGCTGAGGCAAGAGGATCATTTAAGCCTATGAGTTTAAGGCTGACCTCAATAGTTTATGGAGACCCTGTTTACAAACAAAAACTTTTAAATGTGTTGTAATTTTGTCCTCTGACGAACTTCACATGTTCAAGGCTCCATCACCTGAAGCTCACTTTTTGTTTGTGGCCCATCCTCACCATCGCAAAGGAGGATGGCTATGGACACACAGGGTGGAATGGCAGCCATTGGGCACCTACCTGCCACTCAATTAAGCTCTGTTCCTCCTTGGCTTGTAGTGACTCTGTCTTGACCATCTCCTCCCGAAAATACCTCATGTCTTCCTCCAGCTTCACCTGGACACACAAGCACAGTCCTCAGTCCCACAATCCCATCTCTGTCTGTGTCTGGACTGGGGTCTCTCAGGCTGCACTGGCCCAAGAGACCATCTTACAGGAGCTCAAGGAACCAGACAGTCCCCACCCCACAAAACAGAGCAAAAACCAAAACCAAATCGATTCAGCAGTGAGGCGTTCAGAACACAACACACCCGAGCAAACGATCTTCAGTCGGGAAGCAAAAATGGATGACTGAGGTACCGGCTTCCCACTCCAGTGGCCGAGTCAGGCCATGGGCCCTGAGTTAGAGCCCATGAGATGTTCAGAAAAGGAGCCCTTCCTGACCTGGGTTTGGAGGTTAGATCACTGTAATATACACTATATTAGTAAATTGTCCGTGCTGTTTGAACTCACTGAACAGCTGGCTTTGGAAGCAGGGTCGCCACGCACCTATTTTACACTCAGGCACGTTTGTCTAAAAATGTTCCTGTAAGCCCCTGTCCTCAGATTGGCTCCTCCCCTAACTCTGCAAGAGTAGGAAAACAAACAAACAAACAGCGAAATAGCCCCAGAATAAAAATGTGCCCTTGGGAACAGCTAGAAGACAAAGCCACTTTCCACAGAGGTTACTGCTGTTCATCCTGTGATGTGAAAATGCATCCAGTGGAAAGGAGAGGCCAGAAGTTCCCTCACGAGAAACATCCACGGAGAGACAGCTCAGTTAAAACAAAATAAAAACCCTCCAGCTGGCTGCCTCGACTTCCCCAGTCAATTCTGCTGGTGTTTCTAAGTCCCAGATTTGACGCGTTGCCTTTGGCTCTCTAGATCTGGACGTTGTAAACTCATCTGATGGCATTTCTCATTTCTCTACTGCTGTCTGCTACTCATTGTATATGTTTTGCTTGCTATACGCTTAATTAAATTGCTCATTAATAAACATGGCTACTATAGACACACACACACACACACACACACACACACACACACACACACACACACCCCGGCTCTCCTTGGGAACATGAAGATCAGTCACACACCTATTTTTTATCTTGGGGCAAAAGGCACTTCCTCCATGTTGCTTGGTCTCCAACCTACTTACATTCCTATTGTGGCTTTTCCCCAGGACTCATTCTCTCTCTCTCTCTCTCTCTCTCTCTCTCTCTCTCTCTCTCTCTCTCTCTCAGCAGCAGCAGCGCTCTTCCTATGAAGTGAAGCTCTACATTTCTCACACCTTGAGTAGAGACCAACTTGACAGGACTCTCTCTCCCCACAACAACAAGGGGTCACCGGCCCCTGGTCATACTTTGCCAGTGCTGACCATGGCTCCTCCGGGACCTGGAGGCCCTGATCTCGCATTCACCTTATAGTCCCTGGCAGCCTCATCCACAGGCAGCACCCGGTGCAGCCGGTGTTCTTGGGCCTCCCTGCAGACCACACAAATGGGGCTCTTGTCGTCCTGGCAAAACAGCTTAAGGGGCTCTTGGTGTGCCTGGCACAGGTCTCGCTTCTGCAGCCCGGGGTGCTGGCGGGCCATCTCGGCCACCTTTGTCAGGAGGCGGTTGGGCCTCAGGTTCCTCTGAGGGGACATCTCCCTGCACTCGGGGCAGGGGAAGGAACTCTTCTGCTTCTTCTTCCCTTTCTTGCCCTTGCCTTTCTCCCAGCTCATCTGGATGCATTCTCGGCAGAAGTTGTGACCACAGGCGGTCATCACAGGATCAGTGAAGTAGTCGAGGCAGATGGAACATGTGGCCTCCTCTTGCAACCTTCTGGCAAGTTCCACCGCATCCATGGCTCCTGGGGGAGAAACAAGGGGAGGTCTCCACTGTAACCCCTTGGCAGGCAGAATCACAGAACTGTTGCCCCGGCCAGCTCTCCTGGGCCCCAGGGCGCTGTGCATGCTTCCTGTCTTGCTCTTTCCCGGATGAGGACAAAAGCTGGTGTCCAAACGTGGGGCACAAAGACACTCCGAACAAATGCTAGCCGGACCCCTGAACCTCGACGGTTGAGCTGGACTTGGTCCCTAGGCCAGCTCAGCTGCTAGCTCCTTCCCATGCCTTCTGGGACTCCCCAGCTGCTCTGCGTTTGCAGGCAAGCCCTACCCCTGCGCCAGGACCGCCACAATAGAGTCAGATGTCAGAATAATGTCGTGAACAAATCCCTGGTAACACAGAGACACTCAGAAAGGAGTGGAGATCCTTTCAGTGAAGGTGCAATTCAGAAAAGACACAACACAAAGCACACAGAGGGGCTCCGTGCAGACACACGGACGCATGAACACATGCAGACATAAATACGGGGGCTATGTGTAGACACACATGTACGTACAAGCTTGCACACGGGTAAACATGTTTGTCAACTATACAGGAACATATCCACACAGAAAACATGTGCAAGCACACTTACGCAGTGACAAACAGAGACGTGAACATGGATGCACTCTGCAAGCACATACAACACACATATGCACAGGCACACAAGTACACACACACACACACACACACACACACACACACCCCACATACACACACGTTTATAAACACACGTACAATGAATGCACTGGCACCCCTGGAGTCCTACCCCAGGCAGTGGAGACCCTGAATTGCCTCATCCTGTTTCATTATTGAGAGTTCAGAAGTGAGGTTTACTCAGTGCTCCCCTCTGCTCCCCTCTTCTCAATCCTTAAAGTCAAGGCCCTTTCAGATATTCCGGAGTGGCTGCCACGTTCATGTCATCTGAACTTTCTGTGAGCGGAGCACAGGGCATCGGCTCTTCCCGAGCCCTGAGGGATGCACCGCTGACCACCAGGTCAGAATGGGGCGGAGGGTGCGGAGGATGTGGGCAAGAAGGCGAGCGGGACCTGGCCACGCAGGGGTAGAGGTGGACCTCAAGGCTCCCTTTGTCCATGAGGGCTCCATCTAGGAGGCCTCCGTAGTGAGCGTGGTCAACAGTGGAAGAAGCCCCCGGCTCCAAGTGTGACCTATGCTGGGGACAGGATGGCTGCCTGAGATCGGGGAGCCCTGCGAACCAGGGCCGGCGGGGCCCCAGAGCCTCGGCCCCGGGGGTGCGGGACAGTACTCACAGGGAAGGAGTTTTGCACCGCGCCAGGTGCCAGGGCCGGGTGCGCCGCCTCGGGGAAAGGCCGGGTTTGCGCCACAGTACTGGGAGAGGCACAGGGGCTTTGTGGCGTCAACGCGCGCAGGCGGGTTGCCTCGCGAAGGTGCCGCGGGGGCGGGGCTGAGGCGGCAAACACCACGCGGGGAGGCGGGGCCTCGCTGGTGAGGGGTGGGACCAGCGAGAAAGGGGCGGGGACAGAAATGGGGGCTGAAAGCCTGGCCGGGATATCTGCGCGCGTTTAATCCTTGCACTCGGGAGGCAGAGGCAGGTGGATCTCTGAGTTTGAAGCCAGCCTGGTCTACAGAGTGAGTTCCAGAACACCTAGGGCTACACAGAGAAACCCTGTGTCAAAAAACCAAGAGGAAAAAAAAGAAAAAGAAAAAGAAAAGAGGAGGAGAAGTAGCTGGGGCTGGGCGCTTAAGGACAGGGCCTGGGCCTGGGGTTGGGGTTGCCAACCCCAACTCTCCTGCTTTGTCAGCACCTAGGCCAGGGAGGAAGAGAGCAGCTGTGCCCGTGGAAGGTAGGGAAGGCTCCTGCCAGCGCTTGCAGGATTTTGTTGGTGAGAATGTCTGGCTTGTGTAGCGCGAGCTGTCCTGAAACCCCTGCCAGGCTCCTGCCTCAGCTTCTCCAGGTGGGCACCACCAAAGGGGTTGTCAGGGTGGCTTTGTTCCAGCGGCCCAGCATGCTTGGAGTCTCCGTCTGAGACTGAGAAACTGGCTGGCCAGATAAAGCTGAGTGAGGCGGGTCTGACTGGGGTAAAGGAAAAAGAAGAGGCGGGGATCCGCTCCCTGGAAGGCGGAGCAGCACCAGGACGCCGTCCCCACGGCTAGGCAGCCTGGCTCTCTGTAGAGAGGGTGGCGATAGGTGTGGATCGCTGGCTTTCCCAGAGCTGGCTGGACTGGCATGTACCCGGGGCGGTCTCCTCCCTGGCAGATGTGTACAGATGTGTACAGGAGAATAGCAGTGGATGCCTGGTGCTGAGCCCTGCCTTCTTCTGATGGCCTTAGGTGCCCATCACCCTCCCACCCCGTCACCTTCCCACCCCATCACCCTCCACCCCGTCACCCTCCCAGCCCCCTACTCCCCATGTCAACTGCATAGATAGCCTCTTGCTGATCTCACTAACTACTGAAGTTCCTGACTGAGAGATTTTTCTGGCAGAGCAGAATGTTTTCATCTATGGACAAACCTCCAGCCTTGTGTTTACACTGTAGGCATTTTTAACTTATTTTTTTTATTACATTTATTTAATTGTATATGTGCGTGGGGGGAGTGAGTGCTATGGCACACATGTGGTGGTCATAAAAACAAAAATACTTGCAGGAATTGGTTTTCTCCGTCCGTGTGGGTCCTGGGGATCGAACTCAGGTCGGCAGACTTGGCAACAAGCTCCTTTACCTCCTGAGCCACCTCACCAGTCCACCGCTGCTGGAATTTTTATGCCATGGGATCAACAACAGTAACCTCTGCTGGAAATAGCTTCTCCTCTAGCTGTGTTTCCTCACAGTGTTTTAATGCCATGGGTTGTTTGTTCCCCCTTCTCCCTGTCCCAGGATTAGGGGCTAGCCTGTGGCATGGAGTCGTAGCGGACACTTGAAGAGTGTCAGCTCTCAGCAAATATAAACAACACATGATAACTTACTTACCGGTGCAATCTGTATTATACGCTACACCATGTATACTTGTTATGATTGTATTGGGATGCCCTCTAAAATGCCATGTATTGAGGGCCTTGCCACCATGGTGTGGCACTATTAAGACGTGGTAGAGGCTTCAGGAAGTGGAGCCGTGCAGAAGACTGTTAGAACATCTGGGTGTGCCTGGGAAGGGGATTAGAATGGTAGCCACTTTGTCTCTTCTTTTTGCCTCCGTGGGGTGACCTCCTGTCACATGCTCATGATGAACAGTGTCACCATGAACCCCAAAGCAATAGTCAGCCATGCTGAAACCTCTAAAAATCACGATCCGAAATAAACTTTCCGCCTTTGGAGGTGATTACCTCAGGCGTTCTGTCACAGCAGCGGAAACTGAGTGACGACAGGTGTGGTTTTGTTTTTAAGATGTATTTTTATTTTTTTGTGTGTGTATGCACGTGGGTCGGTGTAAACTCTGCGGCTGGCAGGAAGATCGACTATAAGAGGCAAGAAGGAAACCAGTTCAGCATGACTTAGCCAGGCTGGTTCAAAACAAACTTCTGGAGTCTGTCTCCAAAGCGGTTTATTTTTTGACATATTTAAGCACAGTGTAACTTTGGAAAAAAATTCCCTTGTAGCAACTATCACAAAAAAGCTTAAGACATTAGTACATCCTTTTGCAAAGTGCTGACAATCTCTTTCATAAGAAAGGGTTCTATTGACTGAGAAACAATGCTCAGGAGGCTGGGGAATTGGGGTGAAGCCTGGATCTGCAGAATTAGCAAGGATTACCAGACTACAAACAACATCCACTCCCAGCCTTCTGGGTGAAACAGGTGTAAATCTCTTCCACTGAAGAGAAGAACATGCATGTTTAACAATTCTGATTTCTCTATTGCTATCTGTGTGCACAGGGACCTCATGTCCTTCTTAATGTATGTATGTGGATATGGAGGCCAGATGTGGAGCCCCTGGAGCTGGAGTTACAGGTACTTGTGAGCTGCCCCATGATATGAGCACTGGGAACTAAACTCAGGTCCTCTGCAAGAGCAGCAAGTGCTCTTAACCAGCTCACTATAAATGGTCTGTATATAAAATACAAAGTCCTATTTCCTGTGTCCTATCTAGGAGTTGAGCAGCCCAGGGGAGAGGACCATCTAGGGCCAGCAAGTCCTAGATGCCACTGCAGCCTAACATACAGAAAATAAAAGGGTAGGCTGAGCTCCCCTAAGAAATAGAAAGGGCTCTTAGAAGAGACTGCCACACAGACCACTCTAGAGCTTTCCCTAGACCAAGAGAGGAAGAGGGGCTTGAAGAAAAGGTGGAAGTTGCGGAGGTTGTCTTGATACAGCACAGGATACACCAGGTCCAGATAACACACTCTGGGTCCAACCTGCATTGTGCCATTTGCAAGCACATGGAATTTTTTCTCTGGAGTCTTTTTCTGTGTTATTAACTTACAGGAGGTTGGAGGGAAAAGCATCGGACTTCAGCATTCTCCACCTGATTCTAGATGACGCTGTGCATCTCAAGCAAGTCACGCAACTGATCTGAGTCTATTTCCACACATCTGGTTGGGATAGGATACATTACAAAATGGGGTCTCGGAACAGGGCAGCCATGGTCCCCAGTAACTGGCTGATCTGAGGCCAGTCCAGCGCCTCACTACCCAAGTTGGTGATCATCTGTCTTTCTCTGCAGGACAGTTTCCCTCGTGACCAATGGCTCCAGAGTCTCATAATTTCCACTGTACTTTCAGGTACAGCAAGTCCGTAGATTCTCTTGTTTTGAATTTGAAAAGGCCTTCCCAGTGCTCTATGGAAGAAGGAGAGTAATAAGTACTCCTGCTATTTTGTTTGTTTGTTTGAGGGGATGTGGTAGATAGAGATTGAACCCAGAACCATGCATAGGCTAGGCAAGTGTTCTACTGTGGCGAGAGTTCCTGAAGAATTCTGCATCTGGTTTAACTCCCAAGTGTCAGCACCTAGCTTTGTTTTGCCTTTTGTGAGATGCCTTTTGTGACTCAGCGAACTGAGATGTCCTGTGACTTTTGGAATTTGCATTGTCTTTGTCTCTTTGGGGAGCTTAGAGAAGAAGTTTTGTTATAGAAATTGACTTGCTAAAGGTGTGAATTGTGTAACAATTAAAAAAAAAGCCCTTTGCAAAGCTAGAGTCAGTCAGTTTGCCAGAGGCTACCCCCTCACCCCCTAGACCCCCCACCCCCCCACTCCCCCAGCAGCTGGAAAGGCTAAAAATATCCTTAGAGTGCCTCTGTGTCTTCTTGATCCACATACAACATTCTACTGTGGTGATATTTTGTTTGTGCTCTAACAAATAAAGCCTGGAGATCAGAGTGTGGAGCTAGCCACTAGTTAGCCACAGAGGCCAGGCAGTGTGGCGCAGACCTTTAATCCCAGCATTTGGGATCTCATGCCTTTGATCCCAGTACTTGGGAGGCTCACCCCTTAAATCCCACACAAGGGAGGAGGAGACAGGAAGTGATATGGCTGGGTGGAGAGAGGAATATAAGGCGGTAGAGACAGGAGCTTGGCCTCTCTCAGGCTGAGGAGTTGGCGAGGTGAGAAGTGGCTGTGGCTTGTTCCTTTGTCTCTTGTCTTTCAGCATTTACCCCGATATTGGACTCTGGGTTTTTATCTGTGTCTGTGTCCTGATCTCTTACACCTCTCACCTTGGTCTCAGATCATCCCAACAACTTTATCTCAATTACCTTTAAAATCTTTAAAGTTCCTGTGTACAGATACAGTCATATTCTAAGGTGATGGGAGCCAGGTCTTTACCATGTGAATGTTGAGTTCAGCCCCTGAAGACCCCCAAAGGCAGGGGAACACTGTGAGTGCTCAGTATATCCTGGGTACCACATCTCAAGTGATTTTTCATGGCAGCACAAGCTAGATTGTGACATCTGACCAGGTCCAGAGAAGCATTTTATGCCGATGGTCCTTGGAGGTCAACTGTGTGTGCTCTGGGGAAGCCTGCCACTAAACAGTAGGGGTGGTGGGGCTGGCTAGAGGGTGAGGCTCACAACGAGTCCCAAGATTCTTTCTGCTACTCTACTGAAGTTCTAGAAGCTTCCAGATGTGCCTTAGTCAATGGGCAGTTCCATTCCTAGAGTGCCTGACAGCCTATCCCTGGGGCTCACAAATCAGAAAAAAGTAACTTTATATATATTGAGAGAGCAAACACACACACACACACACACAAACACGCACACACACGCACATGCATACTTACGTATTTTATTTTTATGTGTTGGTGAATTTAGAAAACGTGGAATTTAGAAGCCTACCTTGGATATGGTTCCATGGGAGCCTTGCACCTTTTATTTTTTATTATTGTTTGCATGTGCACACTTGCTAGTACACTTGTGTACATGTATGTGGGTGCTTTCAGAGGCCAGAGGACAGTGTCGGATTCCCTGGAGCTGGAGTTACAGGCCATGAGGAGCCACCCTATATGGGTGCTGGGAAACAAACTCTAGGGCTTTGGAGGAGCAGCAAGCATCTTAACTGCCGTCTGTATAACCCCCACTTTGTCTTTCTTTTTTGGCAGGGTCTCTAACTGGACTTCAATTGCCAAGTAGACTAAGTTGATGACCATCAAGCCCCAGGGCTCTGTGTCCCCAGCATGCGGCTTTTTATCTGGGATCTGGGAATCAAAATCAGGGCTCCATGCTTAAGTAGCAAGCACTGTACCCACCGAGCTCTCTCCTCAGCTCCAGACTATATATATACATATATTAAATAGCATTAGGTGTACAGATGATTTGAGAGAAAGGGACAGCTGTCCCTGAGCATTCTAAACTTTTTGGATGGCTCTCCAGGGATCATCAGCCATTAACTCACATCTTAAAATTTATACGTCCTCCAGTACCGAAAACTAAATTCGTGGTGCCTTTAAGTTTTGAGTAAATGAGACCTAATGGGCTTCAGAACTCTTCAGATGCATACTAACATCTCATGCATACCCCTTGCTAGGAGTACTTTTTACCATCGATGCCAAAACAGTGCACTAAGCACTTTGAAATCAGTGGGCCACAAAATGGAACATAATCATATTCCCAACACTAGTCCTTGGTTATGTATTTAACAAAGACATTAATAAGTGATCTCCATATATATATATATATATATATATATATATATATATATATCAGGAGTAAATTTTTTTTGTATTAACCTCACAGCCATATATTCACGCTATTTCCCCCTCAGGCCACCACTATGCAGTTGAATTAGGTTCTTCCCAGTTTGAGTTCTGCGCAAGCTGGTTAGTTTCCAGATGCCTATCATCTCCAGGACACCATCAGCTCTTTGTATGATTCAGAAGCCTGTTACTCAGTACTGGGCATATGAGAAATCAAGGCTAGTGACACCCAGAGAATAAAATCCCGGGGCAAAACACCTTCTTGGACTTCTGGACTAGAGGTTCCTATTGCTTACCACTTAGGCCCAGTCAACACAATAGCTGGACTTCCCTCGCCTAAATGGAAATTTGGAGTCTATAGAACACAGGTTCCTCTGGATGTGTCCCTGGAAATTTTTCTTAGCCGTCCTAACAGATGGGCCAAGTTAACACAGACTAGAGTTTAATAAAGCACGAAGTGCTTTCCATCACAGGAGAAAGGCTAACTTTACACGCAGGTAGCCAGCAGCCTCTTAAACCTTATCCAAATAATGCACAGCTAACACAACTGGATGAGTTAATGCAGACTTCCAGTCAGCACACCATGCAAACACACACCATGGTGGTGGCAGCAGTGTATTTGCTGCCTGCGGAAGCTGGACTCAGTTCCCACTACAACTTTGTGCTATATTCAGGCTACTACATCTTTTAAGTTAAAGCCTAGTTAAACCGGGGACGGAACTGCAGACCAAGCAGGTTAACGGGTAAGGGTTCGCGGCTAAGCCCGACTAGTCCAATCCCTGCCCGTTCCCCCGGCTTCCCAGCCAACCTGTCCCGTACACCAAGGGGGCACGAGACGGGATCTGGAAGGTTACAACCACTTCTTCAGACTTAGTGGGTGGCTCTGAAAAGAGCCTTTGGGTCGGTGGCAGCGCAAGGATGAGGAGCCTGCGAGGTCTAGGCCCGCTCTCCGCGGATGCGACGAGCCAGCTGGATGTCCTTCGGCATGATGGTCACCCGCTTGGCGTGGATGGCGCACAGGTTGGTGTCTTCGAAGAGCCCCACGAGGTAGGACTCGCAGGCCTCCTGCAGCGCCATCACGGCCGAGCTCTGGAAGCGCAGGTCCGTCTTGAAGTCCTGGGCGATCTCACGCACCAAGCGCTGGAACGGCAGCTTGCGGATCAGCAGCTCTGTCGACTTCTGGTAGCGGCGGATCTCGCGCAGCGCCACCGTACCAGGGTGGTACCGGTGCGGCTTCTTCACGCCGCCCGTGGCCGGTGCACTCTTGCGAGCCACCTTGGTGGCCAACTGCTTGCGTGGAGCCTTGCCTCCCGTCGACTTCCGCGCGGTCTGCTTGGTGCGAGCCATCCTGCTGAAGCGCCTTCCTTCCCTGCTCCTTCGAAGGTGCAAAACGGCTTGTGAGCACGGCTTTTATAGAGCCCACTGCATTCCTATTGGCTGCCTGCCAGGTGGCCTGATTGAATGCTGCATTCTGATTGGTCTGTGGACGTGCCTCTTTACAGCCTGCCCCTTATATTCTCCCCGGGTGGCGTTGCCTCCAGAGGTGTTAGCGAGGCTGTCGGGGTAGGAGAGCAGCGCAGATTATAGAAAAACTTCAGTCATTTTCTCAGTTTCTTCTTTTTTTTTTTACAACCCTGCCTCAACTGCCAAGTCACGAAGAATCTTCTAGGACCTCTGCGTGCTTCTTATATATAGCACCAAGGCATAATTTTCCTGAGTGCTGGGATTTTAGAAAAATAGTCGAGGTTTAAGGACTTCCCAGGGTGGAGGTGGCCAGCAGTGAAGCGAACTATCTGTTCTTCCAGAGGACCACGGTGCAATCCCCAGCACCCACGTGATGGCTCCCTTCCACGGGTAAACATCTCGGGATCCGGCAACCCTCGTCTGCTGGCACAATTTAACAGTATTTTAAATTACAAATATTTTAAATTAAAATATTTTAATTTTAATCTAAAAATATTGTAAATTACAAATATTTCAGCATTAAGTATTTTAGCATTAAAATATCTTAAAATTAAAAATACTTTAAAATTTAAAAATGTTTTAAAATTAAAAGAAACATTTTAAAATTAAAAAAAAATGTCCCTGCTGTGTCCCGGCTGGCCCGTGACAAAGGCTGGACAAGAACCACAGGTTCCCAACCTGTTACGCCAGCAATTAGCTGAACTTCTAGCGCTCACGGATCAATCTCAACAGATGTGGTCTTTTTGTTTTGTTTTGTACCCCCTGCCCTAACTTTGAACCAATTCCTCTCTTCCCTGAAAGACCCTTGAGGTGGTTTGAATGAGAACAGCTTTCATAGGCTCTTACATTCGTCCCTAGCTGCTCTAACCGGTTTAGGAAGGATTAGGAGGTGTGGTCTTTAGCAGAGGTGTGTCTCGGGGTTGGGCTTTGAGGTTTCCCAAAGCCCACACTAGGCTGATTCCAGCTTCCTCTGCCTCCTGCCTGCCCATCCGGATGTAAGAAAGCAAGCTCTCACCTACTGAGGCAGCCCCCTGCTGGCCTGCTTGCTGGGATGATCATGGACTCACCCTCCGAAATCGAAAGCGAGCCCCCAATCAAATGCTTCCTTTTCTTCATTATCTTGGCGGTAGTGTCTCCTTACAGCAACAGAGCAGTTACTAAGACAACCTCCTAGAACAGCCGGTGTAGTTCCTGTCCTTTAGACATCCTTCATCCCTCCTTCCCAGGAAAGCACCTTCTTCTACCTGCCCCACACTTTCCCAGAACCAGAAACAAAACAACTTCTACGATCCCAGTGATTTCTTACTCTTGAGCTGGTCCACACACAACCTCCAGCTCTCTTTCTAAATGATCACCGGAAAGCTGTGCACGTTGACACCTATCTGTAATCCCGAACTTGGGAGTTAAAGCTAGCCCAATCAGGAATTCGAAGTCATCCTTGCCCACATAGTAACATGTTAAAGGTTCCAGGAGCTCTGACTCCCTTATTTGGGGAATGTGATACTGGGGTTTTTGTTGGTGAGCTACTTTTTTTTTTTCCTGTCATAACGAGAATGACTAATTCTTACTTATTTAGAGTTTACTGTTTATAACTGTCTAGAATCAGCAAAAATCATTTTAGTAATGTTAGAGAAGTTTTATTAATTTTAAAAGATTTATTTATTGATTTGTATGTGTGCCTGCCTGGGTTTATGTGCACAATTTTGTGAGCCACCTGGCATGGGGCAGGAAGTAACCTAGTCCTCTAGAACAGCAAGTGCTCTTAACCACAGAGCCACTCTTACGATGGAAAACATTTCATTGGGGCTGGCTTAAAGATACAAGGGTTTTGTCCATTAATGTCATGGTGGTAAGCAGGCAGACGTGGTGCTGGGGGAGGAGCGAGAGGTCTACATCTGGATCCACAGGCAGCAGGAAGAGAGACACCGGGCCTGGCTTGAGCATCTGAAACCTCAAAGCCCACCCCCCAGTGACACACTTCTCCCAACAAGGCCACATGTCCTAATCCTTTCAAATAATGCTACTCCCTATGAGCCTGTGGGGGACCATTTTCATTGAAAACACCACTCAGGGAAGGTGTCCGGCAGCTTCTGGTGGGCGCCTTGGCTCTGGGTGCTGGAAAAGCGACGCGCTTTGCACGCTTAGGCTCCCGAGCCTGGCCTTGCTCAAGGGCGTTTTCCGATTGGTCAGTCCGAAAGCTCCGGCTGATCGCATTGGCTGCCTGAGAAGCGGCCCCCTGGAGGATGCTCCGCGGCTTCCTGGATTCTAACACAGCTCCTCCCTGGCGCCCTCAGGATTTCAAAAACTGTATGTCGCTGATGTCTCACAAGGTCGTGTATTCCCAGAGGCAAGAGCTGCGGTTTGTCTTTCTGAAAGTGAAGCCATTTTCTCCATGTCACTATAAACATAAACTGGGACCGGAGAGTGCGCCTTTCCTGGAACTCGCTTTGCAGATCAGGCTGGCCTTGAATTCACAGAGATCTGCCTGCCTCTGCCTTCCTAGTACTGGGATTAAAGGCGTGTGCCACCACTGCCACCTGCCACCGCCCCGCCCACCCCCCAGCTTGCACAGGAGTTTCTATCCCTGTGGTGCCACACCTGGCACTTCCCTCCTGGTGTGAGAGTTCTTCACCTTGGGGACATTACACCAAACCTCTGTCCAGCAGCTCCCAAAACAGTCTTTGGGTTTTTATGGAGCCCTCGTTGCATAGCCATGATTAAAGCATACACAACTGTTAGAACACAAAGGTTATGATCCAAAGTGGATGTACTGGCTGAGCCTGGCCAGACCTGTCGCTTCAAATTCCTCTTGGTCTCTCTGTGGCGCAGACACTCCACTGAAACTGTGATCATCAAATGTTGAGAATGTCTGTATGGCCGGCTCTAAGGCAGAAAAGCAGGGGAGGATTAGAGGGTATTCTTAGGTCCTGTGACCTGCCTTGAGAAAGAGATCTCAGTTCCTATGCCTATAGAAGGGAAAGGATTAGTTTAAAAAACAAAAAATAAAAAGGGGGAGCATGAGGGGGAACAGGGAAGGAAAAGGGGAAGAGAGAGAACTTCCTTTCTGAGGCCTAAAGTACCCTAACATACAAAAGACTAGTTCTGAATCTGATCGAAAGTTGCTTCAAGAATCAAGGAAAAATGACCAAATACCTTAATAAAACATGCACTTATGGTTTTTGTTGCTTAGTTTAAAAAAAAAAGGTTCTGGTAATTATAATCCAGGTCTATGGGCCAAAACAAAAAACATAGTAAATTTTAATTACACATATGATCACAAGTTACTAAATTATGTGGACTGGGTAGTTTATAACATCAGAGACCCATTTCTCACAATTCTGAGGGCTGGGAAAGGCAAAGCCAAGGCACAGGCAGATAGATTTGATGTCTGGTGGTGGCCGTAGCTAGCAGCTTCTAGTACCTTTATTTGAAGAGTGGGAACCTATACCTCGAGACCTTTCTTAAGGACTCTCACCCGACTAATTGCCTCTTTAGGGCCCCACTGTTTATTGCTCCTGTTCTACACTGGTGATGGCGTTTCAGTGCGTGAATTTGGGGACACATGCAGGCCATAGCACTAACCTTTGCCCCGTAGGCCAAGTAGTTAAGAAAACCTAACCTATCTGGTTAAAGAATACCTGGTATAGCTACTCAACGGAATACTGTATTCTGCCAGTAACAACGAAATATGGCTGGTGTGGTGGTCCGCACATTTAATTCCAGCTGGATCTCTGTGTGGTTGAGGCTAGTCAGAGCTACATAGTGAGATAGTATTTAAAAAGGGGAGGGGAGAAATAGGAAAAAATAGAGAAATGAGAAAAAGGAAAAATAAATTGTTATTTGCTGGAAAAATGGATAGAACTCAGGATCATTATGTTAAGTCCAATAAGTCAGATCCAGAAAGAAAGGCATCGCATGGGTTCTCTAGCACGTGGAAGCTGGGTAATTTTTACAGATGTGAAAGTTGGGGGTGGGGGTGTATTTATGATGGAAGGCGACCAGAGGGAGGAGGAAAAAGGGAAGAGCTGGTGTGAACAAAGAACATTATATACATGTATGAAATTATGAAAATGAAAACCATTACTATGCACAGTTAATGTATGCTAATAAATCAAAGAGGAAAGAAAGAAATTACTCCAATACCTAGGTACAGCAGGGCATGGTGGTCCATGCTTACAATTTCATCACTCAGGGCCTGAATCGGGATAACAATTTTGAGGCTAGCTTAGGCTACGTTGAAAAGACCCTTTTTCAAACAAAATAAAACACATTTGGATCTGGAAAAAAAAATGCTTTCTGAAGAAAATACTTTCAAGGATGGGCTAGGCTTATGGTCTTCCACAGGCCACAATGTCACAATCTGGGCATCAAGAAATGATAATTAGACCATGTCAGAGTATAAAAATGTAGTCCACATAGCTCTAATCTGAGTCTAGAAAAAGATAAATCAAACTGTTGCATTTTTACGGATTTGGTTAAAAAACAAAACAAAAAAAAAAAAAAAAAAAGGAACGCAGTGACAGTCACGGTGCTTTGTTTCTAAACATGTATGGTAGTTTAAACAGAGTTTAAACACAGAGTCAATGCCAGAGCAGGGAAGGAAGAGCCTGGTGTTCCGGGGTGCGGCCGCGGGTTGGCGCTGCACCACGAGGACGTTGGTGGTCATCCATTGGTGGCGCCCAGCAACCGGGACACCACTCTCCGGTCCCAGTTTATGTTCATAGTGACATGGAGAAAATGGCTTCACTTTCAGAAAGACAAACCGCAGCTCTTGCCTCTGGGAATACACGACCTTGTGAGACATCAGCGACATACAGTTTTTGAAATCCCGAGGGCGCCAGAGAGGAGCTGTGTTAGAATCCGGGAAGCCGCGGAGCATCCTCCAGGGGGCCGCTTCTCAGGCAGC